TTTCTTCCAGCAAAGTTCATCGTCTTGGTTTGTTGGTCTGTGCCCTACGGCCTACAGCATGGTGCTGTCAGGTTTTTTTGTTCGGCTGCCAAGACATGCGGCAAGGAAGGTAGCTGCGTTCTCGGGTCGTTCGGCCTCCTTAAAGTATTGGCAGAGAAGATGCCGCCTGCCCTGTTTCGAGGTTCTGTTTCAATCGAGATCCCAAGCACCCCTTGTCTAGGCGCGGCCAAAGTTCCTACCTTGGTGTCTAGATTGTGTACACGAAACCGGAACGCTTTGTTGACCTGTTCGTTTGTTAGTTGGTTCGGCTGCCCGCAAACCGTCGAGGTGCCAGACTTGACGGCTCGACAGTATGCCGTGCTCGTGCAAGGCTGGAGTGCCTTGCTGTTGGGGTTCAGTGCTTGAAGTAGTAAAGTGGCACTGCCTCCGCTTCATGACAGGCGCCTGTTGCAGTTTACTTGGGATCCCTCAGTGGTTTTGTTGGCGGTTCGGTTCCGGCTTGATGCTTGTCCTGCCAGAGCTCTTCCTGCGCTTTTTTTTCCTTTCTCTCTCTCTCTCTCTGTCTCTCTCGTGCTGGCTTAATTTTGGCAACATCTCCAACGAGAAAGTCTCTGCGACCTCTGAATCGTCTTCTTGTGCTTCCGACCTCGAAGCTAAGGCAGTGGCCGCTGTTAGAGACATGCAAGTGTCGGCTTGCGGCTACAAAAGTGGCTGCGTGTTTGGGCATCAGCTCCCGGCAGATCCCGGCAGTAAACATTTACGGAGCATGCAGCTCAGCACACACTTTGCAGACACAAGTTTCAACAGACGAGTGCAGAGGGAGATCCACACTGGTCCTGTTCTTTGTGTGTTACCTAGGAGGGGCGATGATCATTGAGTTGAGGCCATCGTCAATCACTCTGCCTTGTCTGACTGTCGTTTGAACCTTGCTATTCTCGCCGATTCCGGGCAATCTTCACACCCCTGCCAAAGCCCTTGTACCATGCCTCCTGCCCGGCTAGGGCGGCTAGGCTGTTACCATTGCTGCCAACGATGGTTCAGTGAAATATCGGTTGGGCGAGCACGGTAGAGGTTTTCTTCTGCTTCCCGGCATGTATACATAAGCACTTTCGATGGAAAGACGGCATGACGTTACCCTGAACAGAATGAGAATGAGACCCGGTTTTGAGTGGTAAGGCCCTGCTTGAAAGCGGATTGACATGCATTGACCATCCCCAATCCCCAGGCTCCAACGGCCCCATGACGTAGCGGTCACATGACAGCCGCCTGGTACTACTGCGCTACTTTGCATCAAGGGCAAGCCGTTGAAAGTTGCTGTTGGCTGTGCCAGGCATTTATGTCAAGAACAATCCGGAGAAGCTGCAAGATTTGGCACGGCTTCTTCAGAAGTTCAAGGACATGCTCGCCTTGAGCCGCCATCAGTAAATCAAGATGCGATATCAACACCAGGCCTCAAGACAGCCGCCGAACAAATACCCAACCGCGGACAGCAACTGAGGCGCGGTTTAGTTCCACCCCAAATCGGGTTTCGACTTCAGGGTTGAGTGGCGAAGGAAGGTTCCAAAGTCTTATTGCATGTAGCCCGGGGCTGCAGAAACCGTGGCGATACTTGCTTCAAGAAGGCCACAGTAGGGATGAACGCACATGGGTTTTATCGTAGGCTTCCTGTCCATAGCGCATGAGCTTTTGACTCCAACAACCGTTTTTGGGAACGACTGCCTTGATTGCTCCACATAGACTTCACCCGAGACGAAGTTGAAGTCTCAAATGTGGGCCTCGTGAGGACAGCGAGAAAGAGCTCTATGTGCAAGTCTGTGAAAAATATGGTTTCTTGGCTCTGCTAACTTCCGAAGGGTGCATCCATTCGAAGCTTACAAGTCTACACAGCAAGGAGCCCAAGGTCAGGGACCGAATCCCTTCAAGCCTTCGGGTGACCGACCCCGATTCCAGCACTGCGATTCCAGCATGCTACACTCGAGCATCCGCAGCTCAAGAACCGCCCTGCAATGTTGTGGTGGGGGTGTAGGGTTTCGGGGTTGTTCAGGCGATTGCACAAGCCCTGATGCAAAAAGGGTTGTGGGTTTCGGAATTGAAGGTTTTGGGTCAGGGGTACCCGGCAGTTGCAATAGGCCTGGATGCAAAAGGTCTCGGCTCAGGATTCGAAATTAGAACCCATGTCTTGAAGGGTTTGAGTCTTCGGTCAGGGTTTAAACGTCTTAGGGTGTAAAGGTCTCGCATGGTCTCGGCCCTAGCCGGCACTCGACTTTGGGGTAGGGTTGTAGATTTGAGGGTTGCAGGCTTCAGCTAGGGGTGTGGTTTGGGGTGTTACTAGGGTTCTGGGGCCTCTGCGACTTTATAGGATGTCGGGGTTCTCGGGTTACAATTTTTACGGATATCGCGAGGCCATTTGTAGTAGCGTTCTGCGGCTTGCGCGGTTTAGGTCTTTTAGGGTTTGAGGGTTTTCGGCTTAGGTTGAGTCTGGCAGTGCTTCCCAGGCGTTCGGCAGAGTCTGGGTTCAGAAAGGTTTAAGTTACGATTTTGGTTTTAGGCTTCGTGTATCGACAGCCAACTCTTGAGTGTTTTCAGGTCAGGTTTTAGGCCTCCGCGGCTTTAGGGCTTTCAGGATTCGAGGGCTTAGAGTCAAAAGCGTTTATAGGATCTTAAGGTTAGGGATTCGAATCCACCTGGTTGTCGCGTTAATCACTGCAGTTGGTGCGGGAAATCCGGTGCTCGAAGGCGCCTTCAGCACATGAATCTCGGATGTGTGACGTGCGCAGACCTTCACTGCAGAACCGTCTAGCTCGACACCGGCTTTAAGGGTTTGAGCGTCGTTGGTCCTACACTCCAGGTTTTGTCGGATTTCGGGCCTAAGCTACCTTGCAAAGGGTCGCAGACGTAACAACGCAAAGCGTGGATGTGTGTGTGTGTGTGTGTGCGCCGGACTACTCAGGTGTAAACCCGACGACCTTCAGCAAGGAGGAAGGTGCTGCTCTGCTCTCCTCTGAGTGCCTTGTCTCGGCTTTAGAGGGAGATCTTTGGGGGCCGTAGGATAGTTTGAGGCTTCTTTGAGCTGAGGGCCGGTTCAGTGTTTGCCGGTTTTACGTTCACTGCTGAGTGTCGCGAAGTTCTACTACCGTCCATGCAATGCATCTTACTCTTTCGCAGGAATCTGGAAATCGTCAGCCAGAACTGGCATCTAAGATCAGGAACTGTAGCCAGTAATGCCACGGCTTGGCGCGATGCTGCTGCTTTCTGCCACTTTCCCGGCCGACTTCCGAAGCCCGGATGCGGAAAAAGGCCAACAACTCTGTGCCGGCTTTGCATGTTACTGAAGACGGTGTTGGGGAGGTTGGTTTCATCCACTTTGGCCGACATGTGAATTTAGAATCATGCATGCATGTACACAGAGTCTTGCGGAGCCTCATGCTAACACCGCAATGCTCAGCGTGCCCAGTATCGACTTGCTTGCGTACAACCTGCAAAAAGGCGGGCTTTTTGCGCTTGTTGGCCACTGGCTCCAGAGTCGCCTTGAAATTCGAATGACTGAAACTGGCTTGTTTCACTATCAATCAGACTTTGTGACATTATTTTTAGCAGAAGATTTTAGCATGTTGAGCACTCTGCGTTTGCCCGAGGTAGTTCTGCTGCAGCTCTGAGGCCTGAGCGTGCCGCACAAGTCGAAAGAGTTCAACCATCGCTCTTTTCCAAAAGTTATCCCAGGCCACGAGAACCCCCCGACCGAGTGCAGACGCGAGGACCGGATTCCTTCAATCACTTACCATGCTAATGGTATCTAGGTGGCGACAGGGTTTGGGCAACGATAAGTGCAAGTGCTGCATGTCGACCTCGGGCCTTTGACGGCGAGGGTATGGGTTCTGGAGTCGGGTTGGGAGCTTAGTGAGGGTTAGCTTTGATAGGCGTCTCTCATGGTAGTGGCACTGCAAATGCGCTTGTGAGGGCAACCCAAGAACCAATGCTTGCGGTCAATTTTTGTTGCGCGTGTGTTGATGACATGCAAATTTAATTAATAACATTACTCGACAACAAGGGTCCGGCAATCCGAGTCCAGATCTGGATTCACCTGTTTTCTAAGACTGGTCTTCATTTTTCGGGAAACAAGGTCTTCGATTCGGGGCTCAGGGCCCAAAGCCAACTCTCAGGAGTTCTCATGGGCTCAACAGCTGTTTAATATATGGAACCGTTGCAGTGCGGCTAGCAGCAACAGCTCCTTCGACAGATGCGCACGCTGTTTGAGACAGTATTGTGGGGTTGCTGCTGGACGGCAGCTATCGCCAATCTGCCTTATGCGGAATTGCTGCAGATGCTCCATCCAGCAAAAGCTGGAGCACCAGACCATCAGACCAAACAGCATCGAATGAGTGCTTTCTCAGTACGTGCAGCGTTTCAACAACGGCAGAGATCGAGAGCAAAATGGTCCGTCCGAATTTCAGGGTAGTCCTAATCTAAACGTTTTGTGTTCGCCGTTTTGGGTGCGGCGGCAGGGTGTGTTGGCAATGTCCTGCGGCCTACCCCAGGGAAATTCTGGACACGGCGTGGTGTAGCCGTGATGGATGTGCATCTCGGTGTCGGGGCGAAAGAGTTCGTGCGGCCTTAACTGGGATCTGTAGCCGTGCGGACTAGGTTTGAGCGGGCGGCAAGGCATTCTGGGTTTCGGGTCTAGAGAGTTGATCCCAAAGCCCGAATAAACAACAAAAAGCCTTAGCTACACGCCACACGAGCTGCAAGACTGCAAAGCCCGGACAAAATGTAAACCTTTGCACCGAAGTATCACAAAGATAAGCTCACCATTCACCTCACTCATGGTACGGTATGCTGATTTTTCTTCGGGCCTCCACTTATTCAAACCTAGACAGTTGAAGCCCTACATCGCCAAGCCCCGACATCCTAAACTCTAAGCTTCACGATCCCAGGCCCCAAGCCTGCCAACTCCAAGCACCCGAACCCCCAAAATCCAAAACTGTAAACTCCTGCACGACCAGGCCGTGCTGCCCTGCTGGGGCCGCGAAGGCCCAGACTTTGGACACTCCATGTAACCCTGGCTCCCTTTGCTCTTCTACAGATCAGGTCCAACCTCGCTATCGCACAAGCGACGCTATTCATTCCTGGCCCAAAGGGGCAGAGCTCCACTATTTCAGGTCTCGATGTCGTGGCCGCTTTGGGCGGCCAGATGCCCCTTGGCAGCAAGGGTTGAGGGTTGAGGCTCTTTGTGCGAGGGCCATGAGGGTGGAGTTGCTTTTCGGGCTCGGTGTGGTGCTCCAAGCTGAGACGGGAGGCACGAGCACATCCTGGTGATATTGGCCTCGAGATCCTTAAAAGGAAGAGGGACAAATTAGGAACATGGTCCGGGTGTGAAGGGAGGAGGGAAGACGACGCCGAGGCTTGGAAGGCCGATGAGGGTCCAACCCCTCCCCGTCCGCTTTATCTAAAGAATCGAGGGGGCAGGTGTCATTCCTTCAGCTTGAAGCTCAGTAGCCCGAACCTTGACCCCACAGGTTCCCTGTCCTGCAGGGCGACTTCACTTTTGCTGGGCCCTGAGGGTGTATACTCTTGCTCGTGGAATCGGGACATTCTTGGTCCGAGTGCTTCTCTCGCCAAGTCCACAGCTACCCCTCCTTGAATCCCACAACCCATCGTCGTCCCAAAGCGGCCCCGGCAGCCCCAAGCCTAAATCGCCACGCAACATCTTCCAAGGTTGGAGACTTGCTGATCATCTTCGGGGAACTGGCCCGATGCTCAGAGGTCTTGGTGTGCTGCTCCGGTTGGGCTTCAGGGGTTGGCATTCCAGGGTGGTGGGCGTGCAGGGCGTGCCGGCTGCAAGCGAAGCAGGCCAAGGGACACTGTCCTAGTTGCTGCGCAGGGGATGGAGGGTGTTGGACACAGCCCTGAACCTTGTCAGAACCTTGGTGCGCTTTCTAGCATGGACTTCCTGAGGTCATGCTGTCTATTCCCACAGACTCTTCGATCATCCCTGCATAAACGCCATGTGCTACACCTCCAGGTTCTCCTCAAGTGCACGCATGCGGTGCTGATGCTCAGAGCCGGGAGCTCAGATGGGCTCAGGGTTTCTGCACGGTATCCGTGGCTCTGCATGGGGCCGTTGACGAAGTCCATATATAGCCCTGGCACTATGGCAGATGGAAAAGATGTCACATTCATGCTTCCAGGCAGCTTCTGCTTCCGAATTTGCTCAGGTTTATGTGTTCCCACTCGCGTGGTAGTGGTAGCTATAGCAGCTACTGCTAGTCCGCTAATTAGTGCCTTCCCAACAGTCCTACACGGCTTGGTCAGAATCCTCCTGGATTGGTTCCTGGCATGCTGGAGGCCTATCATAGCTGCTGCAATTGCCGGCGGGCAAAGGCAGAGTGCAACTTCCTGACTTATCCGGGCCCGGAGATGCATCCAGGTCTGAAGGCTTTTCGTAAAGCCCGGAGGGTCCGAGCTACGAGAATTGAAATCCGAAGTGTTCCGAAGCTGTACGTCTTGAGCCTGCAAGAAGCAGACTCTTACGCCCCGCGAGCTCTACCCACCGAGACAGTAGGTTCTTGCAGCTTGATCACGGAAGCCACGCATACCAAAGCTGGTCCGGACTTCGGTTTGGGAATCACTCCATGGTTTAAGGAATGACAGAGCAGTTTCTTTAGCTTGCCGACAGATCAAACGCGCTGGCTTGACGACCCCTGACAAAGAGCCGTGTCCTGCACCTCGCCGTGTTGCGAGGCCTATGTGACAGCCAGGCGCATAGAGAAGGATGTGCCGGGTCCCCGGCCTACCATCCACCCCTGTGGCACAACATGGAAGGCTCATTGATGGTTTTCCCACTCGGTGTCGGTTTGCCCTGAACCCATAAAGACTCGGTTCGGGTCAGGTTCTGGATTTTGCGGAGCTGTGGTCCGTGGTCCAGCAAAGACTTCGAGCTGGGCAGGTTTGTGTGACCCTCAAGCCCCCGACTCAGGATGAGTCCGGACACCCGGCGCCATCGACGCGTTTGAAGCGCCCGCCACAGTTCGGCGCCGCAGGCACGAGCCTGCAAGCAATGTGGATTCTTTCGCAGCCTGTAATGGAGTAGTGACTTTCAGACTTGGCTCTCTGTTTCACCCTGAACTCCCTTGAGGTCTAGACCCCAGGCAGGTGTGCTCGTGCGGGACCTGGGTGATGCATAGAGTCTAGAGAGGTGTGTCCAGCCCATGCCGCCACTGAGATGGGCCCGCACAGTCTAGAACGCGTGCCGTTTTGAGGTGCAAGGTTCAGGACCCTCCTGAGCGGATTTCGGAAACTGTCATAATGTTGTACCTGTGATGTTCCAGCATGCCAGAATTGCAGGAAATTGTAGTTAGCATTGCATTTTGCAGTATGCCATATTCTCAAAAGAAGGCGTTCAGAAAAGGCTTAGAATGGCTTAGACCAAGGCTTGCACGTGGTTCAGTGTTCCATTATTTGATTGCGGCTCCTTGTCTTCGAAAAGACTCACCCTCAAATCCGAAGCCACGGTTGAAGACTCGCCTGTATGAACCGTGGGAAAGTGTGCTGGCCTCACAATCTGCTCAAACTCCTTTGCCTCGCCTGGATTAATTGCCAGGCTTGTGATGGGAGCTCAGGCAATTGAATCTGTTTGAAAAGGCCTTGACTTCCGTAGCCCGGACCTTTCAACCTTGCACCGAACCAAGTCGAATTCTTGCACGTCCTTTTGATGGCCACGCCCTTTCGGGCCCATCCGGAAGCTGTCGGAAGATTCCGAGCAAGCGAGAGAGCCATTTCCAAGCCCACCTTGCCGGCCCTGTTATACGGGCTTTCCACTGCAGGGGACTGCTTGATGAGGAATACCCACATCGGGCGCACACGACTTCTCGAGGTTTTTTTTGTCTTCACGATGGTTCACCGACTTCCTGGCCCAAAGCCTGTTTATCCACTGCACAGTGCTTGCTGACTAGAGACCGTGTGCCGCTACCGTGCTTTCGCGACTATTTCAGTGCAGGCGCCGGAATTCGTTTTCTGCAGTTGCCGGAGAGCCCATGATATCCCGAGGGTTCGGGGCTTCGGATTTCCGAGAAATCCGAACCCCGCCATCAAAACCCCGGAGGGAGCTCTCCGCACCTGTGTGGGCATTTGCCCAATTGTGAGGAAGCCTCAGAAAGTTCGGGGTTTCCAACAGTCTTCGGCTGAGCCGTTCTGATCCTCGGTGCAAGCCCCCCCAAAATTGCAACGCCATGAGACAACACTCCAGATTCCTTGAGATTCTCGGCCCATGCCGAGACTTTTTCGGTTGTTGGGGTTTGCCTTTGATGTCTCTCGACTTCGGAAGCCTAAATCACAAGCACAAACCCACACCGTAAGCTTTGCTAGAGTTAGAGGTTGGACGGGTCAGCAGAGAATCCCCGCATCTCCATTTCCATCACCTGCGAGCTTGTAGAATCCACTCGCCACAGGCCACCCGAGCCTGTCGACGGTGTTTTCCTCGATCCGAGTGTCAGAAACAAGCTGAGCAAGGTTTGAGGTTTAGGGCTCGGAGAGCGACACCCGAGATAAACTAGATCTGACAGTCTTGGGGGATTACAAGGCAACGTATCTGCATCCACCCACCAACCACCCCTAAGCCGCTTAGAGTCTTGGAGCGAGGTTTGTTTAGGTCCACGGACCCTGTTGCGGTCTCATGGACAGCCTTTGTCGCGGCTGCCGTAGGGTGTGCGGGGTTCAGAGCAAAGGGTGGGATTACGGTGAACACTGGGTTCCCGATTTTCCAGAGGCTTTCCAAGGCTTCAGAGTTTTCTTTGTCAAGGCTTTGACCGGGCTCAGTACCTACATCAGTTTTGGGCGTGTGACGACCGCCTGTGCCTTCTCGTGGCTCGCACATCCTTCCACACCAGGGTCAGGGCCTTACAGCTGGGCCTCTGCAGCTTTGGGCGCCGAAGGTGCTTAGAGCCATGGATCCTTGGCATAGAAAGTTAGGGAAAGTGTCCCTTGCTTGTCCTTTACTGAACCCTGGCCTCCACACCCTTGCTAGTGCATTTGTAGGCCGTTTTCCTGAAGGTATCACCGCAGAGCCTAGGACCCGTCTGACGAGGAGGATCTGGATTTGGAGGCAGAGCGGCCAGGCAGCCTCAGGAGCCTCACACGCTCTCCTTACCAAAGCGAGGGCGGACTTGGACGATGGAAGGCCTCGGAGAGGGGTTGGACTAGCTGGATCCTAACACTCCTTGGAATCTGAAGGCTGGAATCTAATCTTGGAGTCTCTTGGAAACTGCATGCAGGCCGCTGCAGGAGGCGCCTTAGCCATTCTGACGCTGACTGCCTTTGCCGCTGTCCACCTGCGACAGGCAAGGGTTTATGTGGAATCAGGGCCTCAGATCTTAGCAGCTGCAGGGTTCAAGGATGTGGGGCCTCGAAGACCTTGGAGGAAGAGCATTGCCAAAGCCCAGACTTCGTACCAGAAGTTAGATGTTCGCAATCTTAGGACTTCAGGACCCGGCCGGGCGAGGTTGAGGTCCAGAGGGCTTGCAAGGGTGCAGTTCATTGCAACGAGGCCTTCTGAATCCTCAGCCTTGACGGGAACTTCAGGGCCCATACCGTTTTGCCCTGAGGCAAGGCCAGCGATCCTGGAGCGACGATCTCGGGACAGCGTGCAGCTTGTGGATGCCATCGACAGCCCTTGCCCCACTCCGGTACCAGCGACCTGAGCTGCAAAACCCAGCGAAAGAGAGATAATAATAATAATAATAATAACAATAACAATAACAATAATAATAGTATATATATATATTATAATAATAATAATAATACTAATAA